ACGCAGCCCATCCCTGCGGTGATCCCGACACCTCCTGCGGTGGCCAAGGGTCCTCCGGCTGTGCCTGCCAAGATCGAAGTGCCGGCCGTTCCAACAAAGCCGGCGGCGACGGCTACTGCTTCGACGACGAATGATGCCTTGACTACAACTCTGGCTGCGGCTCTTAACCAGGCCATGGGCCAGCTGTCTGGTCTTGATGCTGCGGGGATGGCAGCTGTTCAGCAATCCTTGGCCAACATGGTCGCTGCCGCCCAGCAAGCAACAATGCCTGCGACACAGCCACTCCAGCAGCGAGCATCAGATGCCCCAGAGGCATCCAATGCCACGCCAGTTGTTGACAAAGCCAAGATTGTCGAAGGTGACTCGCAGCCGCCAGTGCCAAGCACCCCGAGCCCTGCCACGCCGATCCCGTCAGTGAATCCCCCGACCCCGTCGACGAACCCGCCCATGTTGGAGACCCCGAGCCCTGCCTCTGATCCTTGCAGCACTCTTGCGTTGCCCAAAGCAGGTTATTCGGGCCCCATCAACTCGAGCACACACAAGACCGAATACCGGTCGTTTCAGCGCTTTTGTGAGAACTCGCCGGGAGCAGAGGAACTCAAGAAATGCTGGGTGCAGGGGGGGCCGAAACGCCTTGCAATGTTCCAGAAGTTTGTCGCGACAGGCTGTGACTAAGCTGGTATATGTGTGTCTCTGTGTGTGTGTCTCTATATATAGGTGTGTGTTTGTGTGCGGGGACAATGTGTGCACTCGATCCAAGGCAACCCGTTGGCTTTGGAGTGCGCTCTCCGATTCCGCCGGCAAAGGGAGGAGGAGGACAAGGATGAAGGCGCTTCCGCACTGAGGCTTTGTGTATGTGTGATGTGTACAACACAGTGCTCCTTTTACTTGCATGCTCGTGCTGCATCTCTACAACATACTTGTACATATACATATATATATATACACACATGCAGACCTGCTTGCTCGGCCACACATGTGAGTGCATGATTGCAGATGTACGTGCCCAGGTGAATACTATCCTTGGAAGGACATCCTCTCTTTCCATGAGGGGAACAGGGACAAGGCGTTGCAGTTCGTGTCAAAACGCCGCGCTGAGCCACACGGGACGCCAGACTGCGTGGTAAATCATGTCCTGCTGTGTGCCGTGGGGTTCAGTAACGACTTCAGTATATGTTCGGCATGTGTCATGTGTTCGGGCTGTGCATTCGACCTGAGGACCTCGACGGACCGGAATGATGCAACCATCGAGACATTTCTCTACTACGGACGGCAGAAGAAAACCTTCACCAACAGAACGATCGTAGCTCGGTGGCAATATATAAGGTTGTCGTGCATAGTGTTTGGTCGCACCTCTTCTGCAACCATAGCCATCAGGATGACATCGCTATTTCAATGGGTTGCTCGCCCTCCTACGCTGCAACCGTGGCTTCGCAGCTCGACAACATGAACGGTGCTTTGTCGATACCGGGCACTGGCGGTAGCGGTGCTGCCGGGTCCCAGGAGGATTCAGAGAATCCCCCTCCGCCGGCCCCTGCTGCTGGGAACTCGGGTGGCAATCCGAAGAACAAAGCCAAAAACGGCAGCCCTGCTGGGAACACCAAATCTGACCAGCCGCTGAAGAAGGCGAGGTCTGTGCGGCCGGAGGCACGAACCATGACGGATAGGAGTGATAGTGTGCATGTGCCCTTACATGTGTGCCCAGCTCAATCAACCACGATGACTGCCATGCAGGGTTCGGATTTGGAGTTGACCATCAGCACTGATGATGTTGGACTTTTCGTCAAGTCCTGGGTGGCCGCGGCGAACACGGCTCAGGGGCAAGCCGTGAAAATGTCTGCAGAGTGCCTTTGTGTTTAAATGTTTCGTCCGTGGCGCATAGAGAAACTTTGGCCGGTTGCACTGGTTGTGCCATTGTGATGAAATATCTGAGGCTGGAGGCGCTCGACAGCCAAGAAGCTTTGATGGGGAAGCTTAAGGACTGCGCCGATGGCATCGGGGCCTGCCGGAAGAAGCTCCAGGCTCTGGGGACGGCACCGGTGGCATCTGATGTGCAGACGGCCCTTATGGAAGTGACTTGGGCATGAACATAATATATATCTGCGTTTGTGTGGTGCTTCCGTTGCTTATCTCTGCATGACACATCCCAGGCATCTGTGTATGTGGAGGGCTTCAAGAAGCATCTGCGAACGGCGAATGGCCTGCCTCTCGCTTCAAAAGTATGGTGAAAGTTCTTTATTGTATAAGTGCCGCTTGTCATGTGCAGCTGTTATTGAAGATGGTGGATAATTTGTACATGGTTCGGCTGAGGATCGCAAACGAACGACGCCCCGCGAAATCGGCCAAAAAGGCCAAGCCAGCAACGAAGCCTGAAGAGCCTGCTGCTGAGACTTAGATCCGGATGCAAGCCGTTCCGAAGCTGAGTAGATGCGTACCTGGTCCGCAACGGCCATGATTCATAAGTCCCGAACCCTGTGGTGCCTGGGTGTTTAAACTGTGGTTTGTATATTTGCAATCATGGTAATTGTGATGTGTGTGGGTGTTCGGTATATATGGTCGGTTCCATATCGTGGTTGCTATATACATGATGCCATCGATCGCAGTCGGGGCTTTGCATCCGATCCTGAAAGTCTGTTTCTCCTTTCTTTCTGGCTGGAGGGTCAGCATCACTCTGCCCCTGCAACAGAGCAGTGTGCCCTGAGTGACCGGGGAGCAGCCTATCTTTTGTTGAGCAGCATGCGCGGGATCCTATGTTGTGTGTGATGCGTAGCTTTTCGAGATTGTGGTAAAGTGCTGGCTGCTATCTGCCATCGCGACCGTGATTTTCGTCATGCCACATGTACAGACTAGCTGGTTTGGAAGTGTTCGTAAACCCTAGAGTCTAAAGCCCAAAGTTCCCAAAATCCTATAAGCACTATAACCCCGCAACACCAACACCCTGAAGTGTGCACTCTATACAAAGACGGTCGTGTGGCGCATCGTATACATGCATGAGGAGACCGCTGCATGCACGAGTGCGTGGGGTTTGCAGTGTACTGCAGTCTTGCCTTGAGCCACTTCCGGCGACATCAAGTGCGACCCGTCCCCAAAAACATTGTTGGAATGTGTAGTCGACTTGCCACAGCCTGAAGCGTATGTCTTTGAGCATGGCGTCAATCGGCCAGAACCATGTCTGTATATATAGGCATGCTTCTTATGTTCGAGGGCCCAGCCCATGCAGCCCAAGGGTTTCTCGCTGAGTCATGCCATGACGTTCTGTCTCACTCAACCTATGACTATGTAGATGTATGATCTACTCCCCACACCACTTCACCACCACCATGCAAGACCACCCTATCTGTGTCTGTTATTGTACTAACTATTATTTTGTATATTGTACACGTACCATCACTATACCACTATACACCACCACACCCGATACTCCTATGCCTATGTACATATATAGGATTGGGAAAACAACTAGCAATCAATACTATGGCAAGCTTTCCTCGACTCATGATGGCTTTGTGTTTCGCGGGATCTCTGCTCAGCCTGGGCTTTTATGCCGCTGCTGAAGAGATTGCAAGGTTTGGCCCAGAGCCTGAATCGGCATCAGCAGGCGTCTGCTGGCAGTGATGGTTCGGTTTCCAGAAGGCCGTCGAGTGCTGATTTTTCATTGCAGAAAAGTGCTTTGAGTAGAACAATCGGTTGGCACGTGGGCCGTGGGGCGAGCTCTGGACTTCTGCAAGAAATTGCATCTGCGGCCGTCGCAGAGTCAGGGCCTGCAAATGTGACCGCCAGTGCCTTGTCGAAGTGGTTAGCGTGCTATAATTCTCTTTGTTGAAACCTCAGGAGGATTATAGGTTCGCATTTCCATGCAAGGTACCAGATGGGCTGCGACATTGGGTGCATCAGGACGTCGTGCGCAGCACATCGAGGAACGGCTGAGCAAGGCTGTATCCTCCTCGAAGAGTGATGCCGCGGGTCTGAACCGTATCATGCATGGCAATGTATCGAAACACGCCAAGACATCCTAGGTTCCACTACGATGCCCGCTCAGTGCAGTGTCCATCATGATGAAAGATGCACGTGTCCAAGTGCAGCGAGATCAGCAGCGTCGACGACAAGTCAACTGCCGCTTGAGGCGGCAAGGTGGTGGACTGCTGAGGAGCCGCAAGCCCAAGAAGAAAAGCGTCAGAGCGACCGAGGCAGTCGAGAAATGCGTGCAACTGCTGCCGGTGCTGCTGCCTCATGTCTTGTTCAAGAGCATGGTTTGCTCTGGTTTGGTGGAGGAGCTGCTGCTTGCTGGCATTGCACAAAGATTCGCGTATATCCTTTTGTGGTGATGCGATGTGCATGTTGCATTCCCCGCCCATGTTATATATAAGGGCGGGCACCGTCGATTGGGTGGACTGGTGGCAAAAGTCCAAGAGCGAGCCCTGGGGAATGCGGCATGCATGCAGACAAATATAGATGTGCGGACACTGTTGTGTTATCTAGAGTATCAATCAAGAGCAGTTCAGTCAATTTCTGCATGTGTCGATCCGCACCATCCATATACAAGGAATCACCCAGTGCAGAGCTGGCCGGAAGAGGCCAGACGCAAAGCGCTGGCCGTGTCGATCCACGGAGATGAGGGCACTGGTAAGAGATCCAAAAGTGTCTTGGTGATTTCGATATCTCCCCTGGCCATCCACCGTGCCGACTCCATGTTGCAGAAATTTCCGTATTGCGTGCCTCGGTTCTTTATGATTCCACGACTGCACATATAGGTTTCAGTTCCTTGCACATCTGATTTGCGCACACAGTGTGCATCAATGTCGAGGTCGTGCGAGCGGACAGATTTGTGTACGAAGGGGGCAAGAACGTGACGCTGGAAGGGTTGCAGCGTCACTTTGCGGATTCTTTTCGGATATGCACCGACCCCGAGAGCGAAGGCCAGCACGGATGGACTCTGCACCCAGTGGTCTCCAAAGGAGATTGGAAACACAAAAGGGAGTGGTTGCAGCAGGGCCGCCATTATGGGAACGTGGGTGGCAATGCTCAAAGTGCACAAAACGCTGGCAAAATCTGCCCGAGATGCTTGTGCGATGGGAGCACGCCTGGAAAGCATTGGGCTGACATGAAGGAAGGCTTTGACAACCCAGCAGACCTGCAGCAGGCTTCGAATGACAGTATCTCAGCTGGCATGATAACATAAGTGCTCAGCTATATAGCTTGACTTATTGTGCTGTTGCAGTTGTTTATCATGTCACGCAGTGCCTCCTTTATTGTCTTAGGCGTTGGCCC